AGGGGAATTCCAGGGTACCGGATAGTTTTGTTTTGGTAAAGATCTACCTCCAAGAAAAGAACACAATCAAGGGGAACATTGAGAAGCAAAGGATTTGCTGAATCATCTAAACAAGCTTTCTTCATTATTGAAAAGCTTAAAGCCTTGAGCCATGTGGTGCCAATTCTTGGAGCACCGAACAAGACGATTTCATTGGGCTGTGTCTTGAAGTTTTCTTGAGCTAATATGACTCCTCCTAGGAATCTTGAAGTGTAACAAAAGCCTTGGTACTTGAAAAGATCAGAAAAGGCTGTCCATTCACTATTCTTAGGAGCTGTTGAAATTATTTCTCTGAACTTTTGCTGGGTTTTTTCAGGTTCTTCACAACCTTTGTAACTAAAGGAGGATTTATTTGGATGATTCATGCTTGGATTCAATTTGTTGTGCATTTGGTGCGGTGAGTGAGTCTTTCCTTCATACATAACTTCAAGAATTTTGGTAGCAGTGCGTGATTCATATGAAACAATCTTCTTAGTGGAGAGTAATGGAGATTATGGTCACCAAGAAGAGGTGTTCCCAGAGAATGTTTCACATAAGGGTAAGTCAGCCATAGTTTGAATCAATTTATGAACACTTTACTACCTATAACTGAAAAATTTAAACTCTGAAAGGTAATTTCAGTTAGGAGATAATACAGGTTCTAAAGAAGAGAAAATGGAACAAAAGAACATGCTGCTGAAGAACAAGGGAAGAGATAGAAAGTCCTCCTGAATACTCTGAAAAAGTTCAATCAACCAAAGATTTGACCAAAAAGTTGAATTCATTTCAGAATAAATTACTCAGAATTTTCATGAATATATTGTTTAATTGCCCAAGATATGCATAACTGTAATCAAATCAGAAGTCATAACTGCAATCTATTCATATCTACAAAATATTAAAAAAGAAAATTAGAACAAAATTCAAAAAATGGAAGACAAGTTTTGCCATGCAAATTTAGAACTTTTAAAAGCAACCCATTATCCTACAACTATTCATAAGGTAAAATCCTATAGCTGATAACAACATATATATCTAGCAGAGATGCACTAGATATTATTGCATCGGGATCGACACGGCAGGAATTAAACTGTGGGCTAATAGAGAAAGAAAGAAAAAAAGTGAAAGCTTTCAGCAGCAGGTCTGCTGTCAACTCATATTTCACAATACTTCTGAATTAGTAGATGAAGTTAATTATCTGCCTCTTATATAAGTGAACAGTTGAAGATTTAGTCCTATGAAAGGAAGATAGTTCACTAGCCTGACTTGGCCATAGAGAAATTGTAGCAACTTAAAGGCCTAATCCATAGGTTAAATTCCTCTGTTCGAAGATGTTGGGTCATCTCCTAAGTCGAATACCTTAGCATGCAGGCAACACAACCAAGTGTCATTATTTTGCTTCATTTGTATATAGGTATCTGTTTATTTTCGAAGTTGTATCTTCCAGATTCTAGCTAGCTTCACTACAGATGTACTGTGGCGATCTTGATGACACGAGTATTATTTCACTCTAAACATTCACTAGAATTTAAACGTCACTCAACCAATTTATAAAAGTCTTCTCCCAACTATTTGAATAGGATTCATGTTCATTTGGGTTGTGGCATGTTTTACGCTGATAGTCAACTTCCTCACACAATCCTTTTTTCTTTGTCCGGGCTTGGGAACAGTTGTGTAAAAGGTAAAAACTAATATGAGACAATCGAAGTTATCTTAGACTTCACTCGAAAAGAGTATTAGCTGAAAGACATACAATGATACAACATAAGATATTCTGAGAAATAAAGGTATGATAGTTGATTATAATTTGAATCAATTTATGAACAGTTTAGACATGTAACTGAATAATTAAAAACTCTGATACAGGAGATGTAAATTTTGAAAAAGAGAAAATGGAGCAAAAAGCATACTGTGGAAGGTCATGGCAAACAAAGATTCAAAAATATTACTGGTACCGATTGGGGGACTAATTATCCCGTACTGATTGGAACTAATAGATAATCTAATGACTATAATAAGTTAGACCCTCGAATTCGGTCTTCAAGTTATGTCCATGTAGCATTGCCCTAAGAGATTATAGCCCTTGAATACTCTGAAAAAGTTCCTTCAATCAAGGATTTGTGAAGTTGAACTCAATACAGAATTAAATACCCTAGATTTCCACAAATATAATCTTTAATTGCACATGATACAAACAATTGTAATCAGATCATAACTCTGTCAAAAATATGGAAGACAAGTTTTGCCTTGTAGATTCAGAAACTATACCAAAGCAGAATATTATCACACAGCTACTCATATAAGGTAAAATCCTATGGATGCTGACAAAATATCTAGCAGTGATGCACCAGATATCGTTGCCTTGGGATCGACATGGCCACGATTAAGGCTTGGGAGGAATTTGCAAGGATTCTAAGCTTCCTTCCAACATTTCCACAACTCTAGTCATAGATGGCCGATTCGAGGGATCAGTTTGTATGCACCATAAGCTCACTATTATCATCTTCCTAGCTCTTATATTTTCTTCAGAATCCATAATGCCACGCAATCCAAGTTCTCCATTGAGTTCAAGTTGTCGGTAAATCCAATGTGGAAAGTAAATTTCACTGGCTCGATCAACAACCACCTCAATATTTTTTCTTCCCCCAACCATTTCTAGAACCATCATTCCGTAGCTATAGACATCTGACTTGTGAGAGACACCTCCAATGTTTCTACAAACTACTTCGGGAGCAATATACCCAACTGTCCCTCTTGCAGCCAACATTGAGATAATGCTCTCTTTTCTGGGGCATAGTTTAGCAAGACCAAAGTCAGAGATCTTTGGGCAGAACTCTTCATCTAGAAGAATGTTATTCGGTTTTATGTCAAAATGCAAGATTCGCATGCTACAACCACGATGNGTTTTTTATTTTTCTTTTTCGATCAGGGCTTTCATGAGTTGATTGTTGCAAAGATACACTACTTCTACATGATTCCAGATACTACTGCTGCATAACCGACTTAATAAAAATTACAAATTATATTTTTAACAAAATCCACCCCACGCTACCCATCGCAAACCACAGNAACCGACTTAATAAAAATTACAAATTATATCTTTAACAAAATCCACCCCACGCTACCCATCGCAAACCACCGGCAGCAAACCTTCCTCATCGCCATCATAGCACAAAGCAGCAGATCTGACTACCACTGGTGTCTTCTCCATCATCGACCTTGCAAAGGCCGCATCTTTTGGCCTGTCAACTTATTAATAGATGGATAGAAGAAGGGGAGGTAGGGTGTCGCGTGGGATGCTTCCACTGCTGGCTCTGCATGCTGTGAGTGAGTATTGCAGGCTTGACAGAAAACCACCGGTTACGGCCGGACTTCTTGCTGCTAACACTCTGATTTATTTGAGGCACAGTTTTCTCGAATCTATTCTCCCTACCCTGGATNTGCTAACACTCTGATTTATTTGAGGCCCAGTTTTCTCGAATCTATTCTCCCTACCGTGGATGAGGTTTGGTTCAATCCGCACCTAATCCTCAAGGTACCCCTTCTATTCCTTCTTTTTCAGTCTCTCTCTCCCCCTGNTTTGAGGCCCAGTTTTCTCGAATCTATTCTCCCTACCGTGGATGAGGTTTGGTTCAATCCGCACCTAATCCTCAAGGTACCCCTTCTATTCCTTCTTTTTCAGTCTCTCTCTCCCCCTGTGCTTCTGCTGAGAAATTATGAAATATGTCTTTGATTAATTATACAGGTTTTGGGCATTCAAGGGTTTGATCTATTCTTGTTGTCATTTGGGGGTTTGTAGAATTTAGGGGAAAAACCCTATGTCTATGTAGCCGAGTAATTCTCTGCAATTACCGGAATGATTCTGTCATTTCTTGTTATGTTGCCTGCAGAAGCAATGTAAATATGAGTTTTGAATGCGCCTTTTTAATTGGTTCCTCTAATGTCTCAGCCTCTAGTTAGGGAATCAAGACAGTGCATCTTCATTGCTGAATTTCTACTTTTTTTTTTCCGGACCAAGCTCTTGGATTTTGATTTAAAGCAACTCCAGGAATCTGTGGCTAGGATTCAAATTGCTGAATTCCCTGCTAGATGCATGTTATTTCAATGTAAACCAGTGGTTTAGTGTTACTGTGGTGTAAAATACATATGTTTTCCCCAAGCTTAAAGTTTAGACAGCATACACATTGCTACTTGACTTGTGTGAAACATTTACAGCCAGATTCCGCCTTCTGTCATACCGCTAGGCCTCGTCAATTAGAACAGGACGTGATGAAAGAGTTCAAATGATTGAGTGAAACCTAAACTTGCCTTTAATATAAGAATTAAGTTTTCAAACCTGTTAGTTAGAAGAACATCTCCCTGCTTTTAGGCCTTAAAACATGTGAATATATATAAGGTGATGGTTTCCAGGTAAGTTTGGGATTTCTTTTTTGCACTTCCAAATGTAGTGCATTCTATAAGTTTAGTCTTTGCATGGCTCAATTTAGTCCATTCTACATGTGTTTTTCTGGTAAGACAACCATTTAGTCTTCCAATGCTAGCATCCATTACTCCTTTAAAACCCTAGTTAACCTTTCATGTAACCATCGTTGTTAGTATTGTACCATACATGATATGTATTGTACAGTATGTTATAGTATACAAGGAAAATAATACAAATCGTACTTATGTATAGCTTTTACTTTGTATCGTACGTTATAGTCATTATGTTGTGTATCACACAATACATCCAATACGCAGAGCTTGTTTTTTATTTTTGGTTTTTGTCAATTAAACAACGTCGTTGCACCTGGGGATTTATTTTTTTAAGCCCTAGACAGTGAAACAATTGTGAAACAATGTTGTTTCACTATCTAGGGGTTAAAGAAAATAAAGCCCCTCTCTTGGTTCGAACAAAGATAAAACCCAGGGCTCTGTGAGTGCATCTGTTTCGGAATCCCCTCTCATCTACTTTGAAAATCCATTACACAGCTTCTGCTTCTTCAAAAATCTTCTTCGAATATCTTCTCCAAGCCTCTGCAACTGCTGTAATCATCTTCATTCATGGTTTCTATAAAGACTTCAACTAAAACCCTTAGTTGCAAACTGAAACCCTCAGCCCTCAAGTCTTCTTCTTCATCCTCTGGTTTTACTAGTTTCAGCTTTCTCTTGTTCTGCGACTCTGGTATATGCCTGCAACTCGCATGTAAAGTTTGAGAAATGTCTTCTGCTCTCTTGCGTCTAGCTCCAACACAAATCCAAAATTCTAAATGTAAGTACTAATTGAACTTGAAGATGAGGATGGGGATAAACACATGCAAGAAGCTGAAAAGGATGAAGGAAGTGAAAAGACTTGTTGGCATCCGATAGCAATGATGATGATGATGCATTTCCAATTGAAATTGGAGATTGAGTTGAAAATGGAATGGAATCAATAAGAATAAATTGTTTTGGATGTTAGAGGCTAGAACCAGAGGTTTTCGAATTTTGATATTAATGAACTTTGTTGGAGACTTAAATAGGTGGTGAATATTAATGAAGTGAAATGTTATTATAACTTTTTTTCAAAGGGATATATATTTTATTAATATATTGTTTAAAATTGTCTGTACTTTACGATACGCAATATGTTACTATAGACAATAATCTATTTTTGAAAAACGATACGCCATCCGATACACGTTTTCATAACCATGCATGTAAGCCAATGGAAGGTACAAAATAGGGAAATGCAATTTTGTCACAAACCTTTCATCCCGTGTAAACAATTCTCTACGGAAAATTCTCAAAATGTTAAACTCAAAAAGCCTTTAGAAAGGCACAGTTAAAGTTAGAAACCACCAAAATCTGCGTCTATCACGTGGAATTAGGATGATACCCTTAGAAAGCCTTGGGCACAGCCATAAATGGAACTGTGGCGTGGTTCAAACATCTAGAAGGGGCCCTAAAGAGGACCTCGAGAAACACCCAGTAAAAGGAAATGGACGTGGCCCCGTGTAGTCTTGAGTCAGGCATTGTTCCTTGGGCTGAAACTAATGCTGAGAGTTTATCCGCTAAGGAAAAAGTGCCATGAATTGTTTCGAAAAAAAAGTTGTGGAAAAGACCTTGCTTGGTCATATGGGACACCCTTGTATCAGGCTCAAAACCTTATTCACATCGGGATCTTTGGGGGCACACAGTTTGGTGGTTTGAGTTAGCTGTAGTAAGTTGCCTAGCTGGTTAGCAAGATTAGGCTTCCTCCTAGCCGAGCAACTCATGTGTGACTGACTGTTGTATAACTAAGGAACATTCTTTTATGAATGTTGTTTGGCTCCTGCTGAGCCAATCCAGTGTCATGAGAAACATGTTGTGCATTGCTCAGAGCATCATCCACTGAAGCCTCTAATGTGGCGGAAAAGGGCCGTGTTACCTCGGCCTGTCCTCCCCGGTTATTGAGCTGCTTGGCTCCTCGGTGATTAAGCTGCTTGGATATTGCTTTGAAGAGTGACTATGAGACTATTTCTAATTTCTTGGACCCCCCACCCCCACCCACCCACTCTTAAAGAAAACCCAAAACAACTTTCATGATTTAGAGGAAAGATTATCACGGTTATGAAATTATGGGTTTTACAAGGTTCAAGATATTGTTTTTTTCTTTTGTCGGACTGAGTTGGCAGGGTGTGTGTGCCCACTTTTTAGGTCACTTAGAAGAACTTCACCCACGATGGTACCTCTCCACAGATGCTGCCACTTTCCTACGGGCTTGAGCAGAGCATGGCGCTACACTGCATCATTATGATTTTCATTTTCTCTTAGTTTTTTAGGAGTTAAATTGGATTATGGTTTCAATAGACTCGGGCAAATAAGTTCATGTGATCTATACTTGCCCTCTCTTGTCTAAAAGTGGTGCTTGTGTTGTTACAACCCATTATAGGTAGTCTTTTTTTATTTTTTTTCCAGTTTAGTTTTGCATTTTGTTTGATGGACTTATTTCTCATCACATTAGTCTCGTCTGAGTGCTAGTGAGATGACTTGACTATTGTAATTGGAGTATTGTTATTGGGACATAAAATGTTGACTTAATGATGTGGTAGGTGACATAGTCTAATAGTATTATTGTAACTGTAACTGTTGGACATCTTTATTGGGATCATATCAATGGACACATCATTAGGAAATGGTATTAGATCATATTATCATAGTTGTTAGTATCGTACGATACGTTACGATATAGGCCTAAAATGATACGGATCGTAGTTATTTATCGTTTTTGTGTTGTATCGTCCGATACACCATACGTGCAAATTTTTTTTTTTTTGAAACGATGTCGTTTTGTGCCAAGTTTTTATTTTTTTAATCCCTATAACCATTGAAACGACGTCGTTTCGGTGGCTAGGGTTGCAAAAAAAAATAAAATCCCTCATTTCTCATATTCATCATTTGCTCATCGCTGGTTAGAGCCTCAGAGGTCTCTGGTTTTTCCTTTAGCCATCGACGACGAGTGTGGGTGATAGCTGTGGGATTTCGCTGTGGGTGATCAACTGTGAGTTTGAGATTTCGACTGTGGGTGATCGGTGATCGCTGGTCTTCGAAGCTGCCTTCATCAAAGCTGCATCTCTTTCATCTAAGCTGCCTCCATCAAAGCCCAGGTTCCATTGAAGCTCTCTTCTTCCTTCTCCCGGTACTCCATTGAAGCTCCTTTCTTCTTTCCAGTCTCCATCGACCTGTGGTCCTGTGCAGTAAGAAATGATGTTAATTTATTTATAAAGTCAAATATATATATATTTTTTTTTGTATAAAAATTTTTGAATCTTGATTAATTTTAAACAGTGGTGGAATTAGTGAACTATGGTTGTGAACTTTGCATTATAATAGTAGTGGATTATGTTGATGATTTGAATAGTTGGTGGAGTATTAATGAAATGCTATGTTTTTATGAGTGTATGATTTTTTTTCAAAGGCATTTATATTTTTTTATTATTTATTTAAAATTGTACCGTATCTTACGATACATGATTTTTAAAATACGATACGCCTTCTAATACACGATTTGATAACTATGCATATTATTAGGTACGAGAAGTATTATCTCCGTTATATGTATTTTTGCCCTTGTGTGATCATATTTTTTTTTGCCTTGTGTTTGAGCAGCACAGGGATTTAAAGCGATTCTTTTTATCAGCTTTCTACCACATGGGTGAATCTCACCTGGTCTACAACATGATGTCACTTCTATGGAAGGGGATCCAGTTAGAGACTTCAATGGGGAGTGTTAAATTTGCATCTATGGTTGCTGCCCTACTTGGTATGTCTCAGGGCATCACGCTGTTATTAGCCAAATCTCTTTTACTGCTTTTTGACCATGAGAGAGCTTACTACCATGAATATTCCATCGGATTTTCCGGTGTTCTATTTGCCATGAAAGTAGTGGTCAATTCCCAATCAGATAACTACACTTCTGTCCATGGACTTGTGCTACCATCACGTCATGCTGCTTGGGCTGAACTGATTCTCATCCAAATGTTTGTACCTGGTGTTTCTTTTCTTGGTCACCTTGGTGGAATACTTGCTGGCATTCTCTATCTACATTTGAAAGCTTCCTATTCGGGGTCAAACCCTCTAACTACAATCATAAGACGTTTTACAAGGATACTGAGCTGGCCTGTAAGACTTGTGTGGGGCATTTGTCGATTCCAGCGACTGCAAATTTTTGGCAGGGGAACTGTTGGTGGGAGTCAGGCTAGAAGTGCAACTGGCGTGTGGAGATGCCAAGCATGTACATTTGACAACTCTGGTTGGTTAAATGTGTGTGAGATGTGTGGGACAGACCGTTTTGATGATGGACTGTCGTCCCTTGGATCGTCAAATCAGACTCACGACCTTCCTGTGGAAGAATTACGGCGTCGCAGAGTTCAAAGATTCGGTAGATGATAAAAAAATTTACCATTTTTATAGGTATTTTTACTACTGTTAGCTCAGCTCTCCAACTATTACACCCGATCTTTCACTTCTCTGCACAGTGCACACATGGCCTAATAATGCACAAACTTGTGATGTCGAAAATTCGGTTGCCTCCGCGTCAAGCGAACTAGACCAAGATTTCCTAGAAAAAGAAGTCGGAAATCAGAGGAGCTCGAGTAAAAACTGTGTAAAGCTTGATTGCATATTTGGGGGTATCAACTATAGTTGTATTTATAAGAGTATTTAGTGATAAAATTGCGCTAGAACTGGACTCTAGCCCATTGAACCTCGGTCTAATTAAAATTAGACTATTATGAATTTGAACTTGAATGGGTTTTATACTTTTCAGGGTCGTTTGATTGTTGTATTATAGAAGGTATTAGAGAGTTTTACATGATTAAAATATTTCAATTTGGCCTTATACAATATCTGGATGTTAAAAGTCACTTGATATTGTGTATGCTATTAAATTAAATACATATATATACCATATATTTTTAGTACCTTTACTTGTACTATTAAGCCTATATATATATTTTTTTGGGGGTTAGTCTATTAAGCCTATTTTAATGCCACTTGAGAGGTGGTATTGTAATGTAGTCAAAAAGTATTATAATTCAATTTTACTATTTTGTCTCAAAACTACTATAGTTTAATATCACCCCAAGAAATTCAATGAACAATATCAGAAAACCCTAGCTACAGAAAATTGAAACAACTCAAAATTTCCAGTGGATTCCAGTATGGGGCATTTCAATTTTAAGAATCCCAGCCACTAGAATTTAAAAAATTATCAGATTTGAATAACTAATTATCAGGTTTTATGAATATGAAACTACCACAAGAGACCATAGCAACAAATATAATGATTTGAGTATTGGGCCTTCAAGATTGACGAGCATAACAAGTACAAATCCTGAACAATTCAATTTAAGTTGTCTCACATGACACTTGAATAAGAACAGAGTCATAGACGCCTTTCCAAAAATAAACAAACTAAATTACATTGCAGACTTACTATAAATCAGTGGTTGGTCTTGAGGGAGAAGACAAAAAAGGCTTGGGAGGAATTTGCAAGGAGTCTAAGCTCCCTTCCAACATTTCCACAACCCTAGTCATCGCTGGTCTATTTGAGGGATCAGTTTGTATGCACCACAAGCTCACTATTATCATCTTCTTAGCAGTCATATTTTCCTCATCATTCATGATGCTACACAATCCAAGTTCTCCATCTTGTTCAAGTTGTTGGTATATCCAATGTGGAAAATATATTTCACTGGTTTTATCAACCACCACCTCAATATTTTTTCTCCCTCCAACCATTTCTAGAACCATCATTCCGTAGCTATAAACATCTGACTTGTGAGAGACACCTCCAATGTTTCTACAAACTATTTCTGGAGCAATATACCCAATTGTCCCTCTTGCAGTCAGCATTGAGATGATGCTCTCTTTTCTAGGGCATAGTTTAGCAAGGCCAAAGTCAGAGATCTTTGGGCAGAAATCTTCATTTAGAAGAATGTTATGAGGCTTTATGTCAAAATGCAAGATTCGCGTGTTACAACCACGATGTAAGTACTCAAGTCCTCGAGCGACGCCTATTGCAATTTGGAACAACTTCTCCCATCCCAGTTGACGATATGTCGAGGAACATCCATCATATATGAATTTCTCAAGGGATCCATTAGACATGAACTCATAGATGAGAGCTCTTTTGCGACCCTCGAAGCAAAAACCCAAGAGAGTTACAATGTTAACATGTGAAGTCCTACTAATACTTGCAACCTCGTTAATGAATTCTTCTCCAGAACCTTTTAATTCACTTAAAACCTTCACCGCCACCAGGCTGCCATCATGTAACTTCCCTTTGTAAACAGAGCCAAAGCCTCCTTGACCCAGTTTAACTTTGAAGGAGTTGGTCATCTTCTTAACGTCAGAATAACAGTACCTTTTCAGAGCTATAGATCCGCAACTCTTCAAAAAAACTTCTACATTTTTAAATTTATCTGTTTTGCCCAGTGCAAATTTTCTTCTGAAGCAGAAGACTGTAGCTACTAAAATGCCAATTCCAACAGCAAAAGCGGCTGCAATCACTGAAAGGAGAAAATACCATTATGCAGTACAAGATCAAAAGTATAATTAATTTTCCAGTTTCAAAACTCCATGATGGCGCATATACAAAGAATGTTCATAGTTCGCTTTCACCCCCAAAATAAAACAAACAATCCCTTCCCTTTTTTGGCTTTTCAGACCCTTTCCTCGGAGCCCCTAACTGATCCCAACAATAACACATACAAACAAACAGACAAAAAAAAAGAAGAAAATATTAACATTGTCGTCTGCTGATTTCTATCTGATTTTTTTTTCCCTGACTATTCTAATTGTCACCTTAGGGGATATAAATATATTGAGTGTTATTTCCGTACCATGTCTGGAACCATATTCAAACTTCAATAGATAAAAGTTCGAACCCTTTAGATTTTTCCTTAACTTGTGGTCATATGCAGGTTTAGTTGCTCTCCACTCACATTTCGTCCAGGTTAGAGTAGGCCTAGTCCCCTAGATTTGTACAATCTATTATGATATCTATATATTGTTTCAATGTTTCCACCATGCCAACTGACACAAGTGAAAGAACACATGAAGGTATCTCTCCCTCTGCATGTATTAGTTCACATTTTGGCGTTTATTCTTTTTAACCTCGTGTAGAAAACTAAATCCATAAAACATATGNTCTGTTTCGGAATCCCCTCTCATCTACTTTGAAAATCCATTGCACAGCTTCTGCTTCTTCAAAAATCTTCTTCGAATATCTTCTCCAAGCCTCTGCAACTGCTGTAATCATCTTCATTCATTGTTTCTACAAAGACTTCAACTAAAACCCTTAGTTGCAAACTGAAACCCTCAGCCCTCAAGTCTTCTTCTTCATCCTTTGGTTTTACTAGTTTCAGCTTTCTCTTGTTCTGCGACTCTGGTATATGCCTGCAACTCGCATGTAAAGTTTGAGAAATGTCTTCTGCTCTCTTGCGTCTAGCTCCAACACAAATCCAAAATTCTAAATGTAAGTACTAATTGAACTTGAAGATGAGGATGGGGATAAACACATGCAAGAAGCTGAAAAGGATGAAGGAAGTGAAAAGACTTGTTGGCATCCAATAGCAATGATGATGATGATGCATTTCCAATTGAAATTGGAGATTGAGTTGAAAATGGAATGGAATCAATAAGAATAAATTGTTTTGGATGTTAGAGGCTAGAACCAGAGGTTTTCGAATTTTGATATTAATGAACTTTGTTGGAGACTTAAATAGGTGGTGAATATTAATGAAGTGAAATGTTATTATAACTTTTTTTCAAAGGGATATATATTTTATTAATATATTGTTTAAAATTGTCTGTACTTTACGATACGCAATATGTTACTATAGACAATACTCTATTTTTGAAAAACGATACGTCATCCGATACACGTTTTCATAACCATGCATGTAAGCCAATGGAAGATATGGGATACTTAGGTGGATGCGACCCTGATTTTCCTTAGGCCTTGGTATAAATTACAAAATAGGGAAATGCAATTTTGTCACAAACCTTTCATCCTGTGTAAACAATTCTCTACGGAAAATTCTCAAAATGTTAAACTCAAAAAGCCTTTAGAAAGGCACAGTTAAAGTTAGAAACCACCAAAATCTGCATCTATCACAAGGAATTAGGATGATACCCTTAGAAAGCCTTGGGCACAGCCATAAATGGAACTGTGGCGTGGTTCAAACATCTAGAAGGGGCCCTAAAGAGGACCTCGAGAAACACCCAGTAAAAGGAAATGGACGTGGCCCCGTGTAGTCTTGAGTCAGGCATTGTTCCTTGGGCTGGAACTAATGCCGAGAGTTTACCCGCTAAGGAAATAGGCTGACTTATGACAAAATTGCCATGAATTGTTTCGAAAAAAAAGTTGTGGAAAAGACTTTGCTTGGTCATATGGGACACCCTTGTATCAGGCTCAAAACCTTATTCACATCGGGATCTTTGGGGGCACACAGTTTGGTGGTTTGAGTTAGCTGTAGTAAGTTGCCTAGCTGGTTAGCAAGATTAGGCTTCCTCCTAGCCGAGCAACTCATGTGTGACTGACTGTTGTATAACTAAGGAACATTCTTTTATGAATGTTGTTTGGCTCCTGCTGAGCCAATCCAGTGTCATGAGAAACATGTTGTGCATTGCTCAGAGCATCATCCACTGAAGCCTCTAATGTGGCGGAAAAGGGCCGTGTTACCTCGGCCTGTCCTCCCCGGTTATTGAGCTGCTTGGCTCCTCGGTGATTAAGCTGCTTGGATATTGCTTTGAAGAGTGACTATGAGACTATTTCTAATTTCTTGGACCCCCCACCCCCACCCACCCACTCTTAAAGAAAACCCAAAACAACTTTCATGATTTAGAGGAAAGATTATCACGGTTATGAAATTATGGGTTTTACAAGGGTCAAGATATTGTCTTTTCTTTTGTCGGACTGAGTTGGCAGGGTGTGTGTGCCCACTTTTTAGGTCACTTAGAAGAACTTCACCCACGATGGTACCTCTCCACAGATGCTGCCACTTTCCTACGGGCTTGAGCAGAGCATGGCGCTACACTGCATCATTATGATTTTCATTTTCTCTTAGTTTTTTAGGAGTTAAATTGTATTATGGATTCAATATACTAGGGCAAATAAGTTCATGTGATCTATACTTGCCCTCTCTTGTCGAAAAGTGGTGCTTGTGTTGTTACAACCCATTATAGGTAAATTTTTTTTTTTTTTCCAGTTTAGTTTTACATTTTGTTTGATAGACTTATTTCTCATCACATTTGTCTCGTCTGAGTGCTAGTGAGATGACTTGACTATTGTAATTGGAGTATTGTTATTGGGACATAAAATTTTGACTTAATGATGTGGTAGGTGACATAGTCTAATAGTATTATTGTAACTGTAACTGTTGGACATCTTTATTGGGATCATATCAATGGACACATCGTTAGGAAATGGTATTAGATCATATTATTAGGTACGAGAAGTATTATCTCCGTTATATGTATTTTTGCTCTTGTGTGATCATATTTTTTTTTGCCTTGTGTTTGAGCAGCACAGGGATTTAAAGCGATTCTTTTTATCAGCTTTCTACCACATGGGTGAATCTCACCTGGTCTACAACATGATGTCACTTCTATGGAAGGGGATCCAGTTAGAGACTTCAATGGGGAGTGTTAAATTTGCATCTATGGTTGCAGCCCTACTTGGTATGTCTCAGGGCATCACGCTGTTATTAGCCAAATCTCTTTTACTGCTTTTTGACCATGAGAGAGCTTACTACCATGAATATTCCATCGGATTTTCCGGTGTTCTATTTGCCATGAAAGTAGTGGTCAATTCCCAATCAGATAACTACACTTCTGTCCATGGACTTGTGCTACCATCACGTCATGCTGCTTGGGCTGAACTGATTCTCATCCAAATGTTTGTACCTGGTGTTTCTTTTCTTGGTCACCTTGGTGGAATACTTGCTGGCATTCTCTATCTACATTTGAAAGCTTCCTATTCGGGGTCAAACCCTCTAACTACAATCATAAGACGTTTTACAAGGATACTGAGCTGGCCTGTAAGACTTGTGTGGGGCATTTGTCGATTCCGGCGACTGCAAATTTTTGGCAGGGGAACTGTTGGTGGGAGTCAGGCTAGACGTGCAACTGGCGTGTGGAGATGCCAAGCATGTACATTTGACAACTCTGGTTGGTTAAATGTGTGTGATATGTGTGGGACAGACCGTTTTGATGATGGACTGTCGTCCCTTGGATCGTCAAATCAGACTCACGACCTTCCTGTGGAAGAATTACGGCGTCGCAGAGTTCAAAGATTCGGTAGATGATAAAAAAATTTACCATTTTTATAGGTATTTTTACTACTGTTAGCTCAGCTCTCCAACTATTACACCCGATCTTTCACTTCTCTACACAGTGCACACATGGCCTAATAATGCACAAACTTGTGATGTCGAAAATTCGGTTGCCTCCGCGTCAAGCGAACTAGACCAAGATTTCCTAGAAAAAGAAGTCGGAAATCAGAGGAGCTCGAGTAAAAACTGTGTAAAGCTTGATTGCATATTTGGGGGTATCAACTATAGTTGTATTTATAAGAGTATTTAGTGATAAAATTGCGCTAGAACTGGACTCTAGCCCATTGAACCTCGGTCTAATTAAAATTAGACTATTATGAATTTGAACTTGAATGGGTTTTATACTTTTCAGGGTCGTTTGATTGTTGTATTATAGAAGGTATTAGAGAGTTTTACATGATTAAAATATTTCAATTTGGCCTTATACAATATCTGGATGTTAAAAGTCACTTGATATTGTGTATGCTATTAAATTAAATACATATATATACCATATATTTTTAGTACCTTTACTTGTACTATTAAGCCTATATATATATTTTTTTGGGGGTTAGTCTATTAAGCCTATTTTAATGCCACTTGAGAGGTGGTATTGTAATGTAGTCAAAAAGTATTATAATTCAATTTTACTATTTTGTCTCAAAACTACTATAGTTTAATATCACCCCAAGAAATTCAATGAACAATATCAGAAAACCCTAGCTACAGAAAATTGAAACAACTCAAAATTTCCAGTGGATTCCAGTATGGGGCATTTCAAATTTAAGAATCCCAGCCACTAGAATTTAAAAAATTATCAGATTTGAATAACTAATTATCAGGTTTTATGAATATGAAACTACCACAAGAGACCATAGCAACAAATATAATGATTTGAGTATTGGGCCTTCAAGATTGACGAGCATAACAAGTACAAATCCTGAACAATTCAATTTAAGTTGTCTCACATGACACTTGAATAAGAAGAGAGTCATAGACGCCTTTCCAAAAATAAACAAACTAAATTACATTGCAGACTTACTATATGGGGTTGATTCTGTAGTGGATAAATCAGTTGTTGGTCTTGAGGGAGAAGACAAAAAAGGCTTGGGAGGAATTTGCAAGGAGTCTAAGCTCCCTTCCAACATTTCCACAACCCTAGTCATCGCTGGTCTATTTGAGGGATCAGTTTGTATGCACCACAAGCTCACTATTATCATCTTCTTAGCAGTCATATTTTCCTCATCATTCATGATGCTACACAATCCAAGTTCTCCATCTTGTTCAAGTTGTTGGTATATCCAATGTGGAAAATATATTTCACTGGTTTTATCAACAACCACCTCAATATTTTTTCTCCCTCCAACCATTTCTAGAACCATCATTCCGTAGCTATAAACATCTGACTTGTGAGAGACACCTCCAATGTTTCTACAAACTATTTCTGGAGCAATATACCCAATTGTCCCTCTTGGAGTTAGCATTGAGATGATGCTCTCTTTTCTAGGGCATAGTTTAGCAAGGCCAAAGTCAGAGATCTTTGGGCTGAAATCTTCATCTAGAAGAATGTTATGAGGCTTTATGTCAAAATGCAAGATTCGTGTGTTGCAACCACGATGTAAGTACTCAAGTCCTCGAGCAATGCCTATTGCAATTTGGTACAACTTTTCCCATCCCAGGTGACGTTCTGTTGAGGAACTTCCATCATATATGAATTTCTCAAGAGACCCATTAGGCATAAACTCATAGATGAGAGCCCTTTTACGACCCTCAAAGCAAAAACCCAAGAGAGTTACAATGTTAACATGTGAAGTCTTACTAATACTTGCAACCTCGTTAATGAATTCTTCTCCAGAACCTTTTAATTCACTTAAAACCTTCACTGCCACCAGGCTGCCATCATGTAACTTCCCTTTGTAAACAGAGCCAAAGCCTCCTTGACCTAGTTTAACTTTGAAGGAGTTGGTCATCTTCTTAACGTCAGAATAACAGTACCTTTTCAGAGCTATAAATCCGCAACTCTTCAAAAAAACTTTTACATTTTTAAATTTATCTGTTTTGCTCAGTGCAAATTTTCTTCTGAAGCAGAAGACTGTAGCTACTAAAATGCCAATCCCAACAGCAAAAGCGACTGCAATCACTGAAAGGAGAAAATACCATTATGCAGTACAAGATCCAAAGTATAATTAATTTTCCAGTTTCAAAACTCCATGATGGCGCATATACAAAGAATGTTCATAGTCCCCCAAAATCAAACAACCAATCCCTTCCCTTTTTGGCTTTTCATACTCATTCCTCGGAGCCCCTAACTGATCCCAACAATAACACATACAAACAAACACACACAAAAAAAAGAAAATGTTAACATTGTCGTCTGCTGATTTCTATCTGATTTTTTTTTCCTGATTGTTCTAATTGTCACCTTAGGGGATATAAATATATTGAGTGCTATTTCCGTACCATGTCTGGAACCATATTCAAACTTCAATAGATAAAAGTTCGAACCCTTTAGATTTTTCCTTAACTTGTGGTCATATGCAGGTTTAGTTGCTCTCCACTCACATTTCGTCCAGGTTAGAGTAGGCCTAGTCCCCTAGATTTGTACAATCTATTATGATATCTATATATTGTTTCAATGTTTCCACCATGCCAACTGACACAAGTGAAAGAACACATGAAGGTATCTCTCCCTCTGCATGTATTAGTTCACATTTTGGCGTTTATTCTTTTTAACCTCGTGTAGAAAACTAAATCCAAAAAACATATGTTTTTTCTTTCTTTCCTTTTCATGTCTATCTGGCTTGGTCTTAGATTTGCTGAAATCGGATGATAGAGAACATAAAACTAGAAAAGCTCTACTTAAGAAAGACGATATAAAGTATGGAAAAAGAATATTACCCGCGACAGGAATTGATTTCAAGTGGGTTTTTCCTGCAATCAATTTCAGTCCGAACAAAATTATTTCAGCATTTCATAAGAATAAAAGTGAGGTAATTTACTTTGCATGGTCGAATTTTTTCACTAGATAAGCAAACATTTAAAACATGTCCAACTTATAAAACAACCCAAACTGATCAGGGTTGTGCAGATAAATTTTTGTTTTTTGGGATCGGATGTGGACTAGCAAAGAGAGCAGCATGCAAATGTGCATATGCAAAAACCATTCTCGCATTCGGGCGAGTGAATAAGAAGCTTTCTGACACAGAATAATAACCGAAGCGCGTCGTACTAAACCTTGACCTTGCGTTTGGGACGAGTCTTAGTTTTGAATTGAACCTGATGATGCACAAAATAATCTCGTACAAGATCAATAGTCGAGTGTGTGATAAAGTGTAATTAATGGACAATTAATAGAACAATCAATAAAAATAATGTAAATATCGAGTCAACACATAAATATATATTAGTTCGATTCGGGTGACCTACTCCACACCAGGAAACGACAACAGTGGCCGGAGAACTTTTATTGATAAAGTATGGTGATCGAGAGAGAGAGCAATAATTAGCTTTGAGAGGGATACAATAGTTATGAGAGAGAAATTATGTGTGTGTAGGGAGGTGTAAAGAGATCTCAAGAGGTATTTAGAGGTATAAAGTGGTGTCATCTCATGTAGAAAAAACTTACAATTTATAGGCACCGAACCTTAATTAAGACGGTGACATGAGGACAAAGACACTAATTCTCCGGGTCGCTAACTTTATTTGCCCACCAATTTTGACTTAATGGACTCTTTCCTTCACAAATATCTTCATAAATCTTAATATATTAGTTTCCTTTGGGTCTTCTATTCGACTTGTTGACTAACCTAAACAATTTATTCCTCAAGCCATGAAGAAAATATGTTAACTTAAGATTTGCTTAAGCTTGAATAATCATGATGATCCTTGCATTATATATGAAACTCTAATTAATTCTAAGGTTAATTCAAGTGCTAATTTAGACGAGTTGTAAATTTAAACGTGCTGAATTCAAATTTTAATAAACTTTTGAGATCAGACCATAAGAATGTTTCTGCGTAAATAACTTGTCTTTGACTAAACTGGGGAGTAAATTAGTCGAGTTGTGCGTCAGTTGACCCAAACACTCCTGACCGTTAAACTTAACAAAAATGAAACTCAAAAACTAATTAATTGAGCTTAATCTATTTAATCTCCCTCGATTCTCATAAAATTCTATTGATTAAGAGATTAAAGGCACAATCCTTACTAACGACAAAAAAAAAAAAAAAAAAAAAACTACCCTTAAAAGGAAATTGTTGATACTTAAAGTGAGACCATTGACATTCAAAAACTCTAAAATCTCAATCACAATCCTGTATTGATATAATTTGTCCACATTCATATATTTGATTATATATTTTAAACCAAATTTTCAACTTTAGTATCATAGCTTATGGTTTTTAAACTTTTCCGGAGTTTACATTCAATCCACATAATAAAGGATAAAACCCAACTAAGGCCCGTAAAATGTCCATTTAGGCCGGTTGGTTGACTAGTCAGCTAAAAGAGGAACATGCTAACAGCAGTAAGGAGAATTGATTAGTGTATAAACCCTGATTTTGAGGTGATGAAGCTAAGCACTAGGAGTTGAAGGGTTGGACTAGAAAACAAGGATAGGAACTAATGGTGCACGGTAGAGTATGATCAGACAGGACTTTTAACACCCCATGGTACTTGAGGGTGTTTTCTAAAATGTTCACATAGGGCTCAGAAACAGACCCAAGCAACTCCACTGCCTTTACAAGGATGGTTCAAGATCTGGTGTTTTCAACTCGGAAGGCACAGGGACGTATCGATTACAATATCATGGAACTAAATCTAATGAATAAAAGAAGAAGTTGGACATAGTAAATGATGGATTCAGGTATCACAGCGTCGGAATGCTGATACTTTGAGTAGATGATGATGATTCATACGAGTTGACTAAAATAGTTTTGTGTCAATTACAAGTCGAGTGAAACTCGTGGTATACACAGTGCAGAGTAGTTTTGGAACAAAAAAGTGCAGATTTGTGTCAGACACAAGTTGAGTCTCTAAACCATTCCCCAAACATCAAAATTGCCATCCTTCCAAGTCAAGATGCAAATTAACTTGGTCTAATTGGATTGCATACTATCTACACCCATAGATGCAATCCTCAAAACCAGGCCAAGTTCTGGCAAATTCCAGGGCCTGTGTTTCCAAGTCAGAGAACTTGAAAATCAGATGCCCTCCAATTTGATCTACAATACAATGTTGTCTATATGGCATAAGAAGTTCGAGGACTAGACCAATGTCCAGCCAACAATCTGAACTGATCCTGTGCCTTAGCAGCTTAACTTTCAACTAATTCCTACTTGAACTCAAAATAAGACTAACCACAAGATTAGAGACACATACCCTTTCCAGTTTGATCCGTATTACGACAGGTGCGAGCATATGATCCACCTAAACAATAGCAAGCAAAGGATGTGTTGCTTGAGTCAGACCCACATCGCCCACCAGAATCGTTGCACTGGGTGCAGTACATATTATTCGCATCCCACTGCAACTGAAAACCACCGTCAAGAGCTGCTGTTAGATTATTTGTCGTAGACGAATCGCTTGACAATATCTCAGTCGAGGTCTCATTAACCGGAACAATAACATTGCTATTGCAGGTCATTGCGGTATTGTTGATGAAAAAGTCGAGTGTTTCTTCCATTGTGAAATAACTAGAACTGGGGGTGTTGTTCACATTGCAATCAAATTGATTTTGCAAGCTTACTGGAACTCTGGGGCACCCGTAATGAAGACTGATGTTCCGCTGGCGGATTGAATAGCTAAAGATGTTGAAATCCATGGTGGTGTTGTAAAGAAAGATTGGACAAATATTGTTCCACAGATCCTGTCTAGCAACTGTGAGAGTTTGCGTTTTGTTATCGATAGCCAGGACTCGGAAATCCATTGACAGGATTGTGATTATGGGGGCATCACCTTGGCAATTCAGCCTGAAACGCGGGTGGCCGCAATATGGTAGCCGGTTTTGTCCCCAGANGATAGCCAGGACTCGGAAATCCATTGACAGGATTGTGATTATGGGGGCATCACCTTGGCAATTCAGCCTGAAACGCGGGTGGCCGCAGTATGGTAGCCGGTTTTGTCCCCAGAAAGGATAACCGATGCCCTGAATGTTCGCACACTCAAACAACTCACCACAGGCTGCATATTGCTCATTGTCTTCACCCAGAAACATAGGAAGGTGGCTGAAAATAGAGATTCCGATCATGATCATGAAGAGATTGGGATGCATTTTTGATTTTGAGAGAGAGAGAGAAAGAGAGAGAGATGACTTTAGACGAATTTGGTGCAATCCAAGTAAAATTTGGGGATGGAGATCTGAAATTGAAGGAGATGAAAAAGTCTTGTTTTCCCATGAATGACGATGATATAAGTGGAAGAAAATGATCTTTGACTGCTAAGCCACCTTGTAAAACATTTCTAAGAGAAGCTTCTACTGGAAATTGAAAAAATAGCTGACCAAGTTTAAATAGAATGCATGCCGCCCCTACCGAAAATCTAAATTCATAGTCTGACCATGTTTGTAGAACACGAAACTTGATAAAATAACAGCAAATTATCCTGAAAATTTTTGTGAAATATATATTGAAAAAATATTTGGAAGACATAACCACCTAAAAGTTTAAGTCTATAAGTTTACATTCAGACGTATTTCAATTCTTGTTCTATCTGATGTAAGATTTTCACACATGTAGTAGTTTCTTAAGTTAATTCTCTAAGTTGTTTCTAAGACAAAGTATCACCAATATTTTAAAAGGATTCACACGGTGGACTCTGACGACGTATTAAAGCATTCACCAAAAAGAAAACAGAAAAGCAGAGGATGTATTAGTTACACCAATCAAATAGTTGTGAAGGATGAAACTTATAGGAGCCAAACGGGGTGAATTTTCCAGGCTGATATGGAAATGTCAAGGAAATAAATGGTGGGTGCAGTGAAGTCAGGCTAGTTGACTAATGAACCAAAGCAACAAAGTCCATCTTCAGAGACAACAAAATCTGTCTATGGAAGCTAACAAGTGGACCCCAAGTATGAATGTTTCAACACCCTTGCTGCACCTTCATCACAATAACATTAAGTTTCATGACAAGGAAATGCAACCGAAGACCTGCGAACCTAATATGAAATGGGCATGGAATTGATGGGTTTAGGTTTTAACCATAGCGGTTAGGAGTAATAAACAAAAATAAATTCGTCAAATAATGAATTAATATAAATTTGGTTGAGCACGTCATGAATCAAACTAAACATAATTTATGAATGACCTTGACTAAACACGATTAGAAATGAGTTAGGTATGATTAAAGTAAATTTTGGAACTAGAAGACTTAGCTCAATTTCTCTACACCTTACTCTTTAGGTAAGTACAAGGGAGAAAAAGAGAATGGTGGCCACCAAAGTAGGTAACCAGGATTATGTACCTTTTAGCANAATCAAACTAAACATAATTTATGAATGACCTTGACTAAACACGATTAGAAATGAGTAGTTAGGTATGATTAAAGTAAATTTGGGAACTAGAAGACTTAGCTCAATTTCTCTACACCTTACTCTTTAGGTAAGTACAAGGGAGAAAAAGGGAATGGTGGCCACCAAAGTAGGTAACCAGGATTATGTACCTTTTAGTAGTACCATGTCATAAGTATTACCCTGTTTCCAGCATTCATATTGGGTCTCAATAGGTCATAAGCTTAAGTTCTGAATACACAACCAAAATAGTCATGGACAGAATCATGCTGTGGCCATGGGAGGCCATGGCTCTTCTCGGGTGGCCCGATTACCCGACGATATTACCCTATTACGGACTCGGTCCGTCTCCGACTATATTGCCTTCTTAATTTTCAGCCCACAATATGTTATGGCTCTTGCACATGAGCTAAATAAATCNTTGCCTTCTTAATTTTCAGCCCACAATATGTTATGGCTCTTGCACATGAACTAAATAAAGCATAATATCTNTACCCTATTACGGACTCGGTCCGTCTCCGACTATATTGCCTTCTTAATTTTCAGCCCACAATATGTTATGGCTCTTGCACATGAGCTAAATAAATCATAATATCTTAGGGATTCCTAGCCTCATGGCCTGTGTGTTGTAGTCAAAGCCAGATGAATTTTGCTTGTAGTGTCAAGTATAACTGAAAGCAGACATACCTGGCCTAGTCAGACATGTGTTTGAGTATGGTTGATCATGGCAAAAGCAAGCGAATTGATTTTCGGTTCGATTATATCCACATTCCCCGACCGATTCAACACATTTGCTGCATTGGTCACTCTCATTCCACTGCAATTCAAAACCCCCATCTATTACTGTACCAAGATTCGTAAAATTGTCCTCCAGAGCTCTAGCACTCCCTTCAAAAACCGGAACAATGACAGTATCATTGCAGCTCATCCCCCAGCGTGGATCGATCGTTATATTTGTTGTCACATAGAACAGGTTGGAGTTAGTACTGTTTACGCCACAGTCATACTTACTAGAATTGCCTAAAATAGGTACTGAGTTGTAAGTGCAACCATAGAACAATGTCAAGTTCCGAAGCCCAAAAGCATAGCTAAAGACCGTGGACTCGAGGCTTGTGTTAACCAGACGTGCANAAAATAGGTACTGAGTTGTAAGTGCAACCATAGAACAATGTCAGGTTCCGAAGCCCAAAAGCATAGCTGAAGACCGTGGACTCGAGGCTTGTGTTAACCAAACGTGCAGGACATATGTTGTTCCAGAAATCATCTCTAACGACTATGAGGTTATGTAATTGGGAAGCGATAGCGAGAACTCGATACTTTTCTGACGTGACAGTGATCAGGGGTACGTTATCATGGCACTCGAGCTCAAATCTTGGTTTTCCACAGTAATCTGCACGATTCGCTTCCCAGAAGGGATATTTGATGCTGCTGATGCCTCCACATGAAAAATTTTCCCCACAGTTTTCGTATCGGGCTTCGTTAGCGCATAGAAACATNTCAAAAACCGGAACAATGACAGTATCATTGCAGCTCATCCCCCAGCGTGGATCGATTGTTATATTTGTTGTCACATAGAACAGGTTGGAGTTAGTACTGTTTACGTCACAGTCATACTTACTAGAATTGCCTAAAATAGGTACTGAGTTGTAAGTACAACCATAGAACAATGTCAGGTTCCGAAGCCCAAAAGCATAGCTGAAGACCGTGGACTCGAGGCTTGTGTTAACCAAACGTGTAGGACATATGTTGTTCCAGAAATCATCTCTAACGACTATGAGGTTATGTAATTGGGAAGCGATAGCGAGAACTCGATACTTTTCTGACGTGACAGTGATCAGGGGTACGTTATCATGACACTCGAGCTCAAATCCTGGTTTTTCACAGTAATTTGTACGATTCGCTCCCCAGAAGGGATATTTGATGCTGCTGATGCCTCCACATGAAAAATTTTCCCCACAGTTTTCGTATCGGGCTTCGTTAGTGCATAGAAACGTCGGGGTTATCATAGAAATCAATATGATTGTCAGGATGAAGTGAAGGCAAGATGGTGAAGGAAAGAAGTGCATTTTGAGGAATGTTCAGATCCTGATAGAATGAAAATTGAGCTGACAGACGGAATGAGGCAACTTTGCAAAAATTTTGGGTATCTTTGGAGATGGACGTTGAAAAGTAGTATTGAAAAACGTATTTCTGNAGTGCATTTTGAGGAATGTTCAGATCCTGATAGAATGAAAATTGAGCTGACAGACGAAATGAGGCAACTTTGCAAAAATTTTGGGTATCTTTGGAGATGGACGTTGAAAAGTAGTATTGAAAAACGTATTTCTGATAACAATTTTTAAAAAGTATGTTCCGGTGTCTAGGACATTTGGGAGTGCCGGCCAATCAGAATACAAAAAAAATAATGATAGATTGACTTAAAAATTAGATTCGATAATCTCAATAACTGAATAGATAATGAGTCCGAATAAATACTGAGATCCACAGTGAAATCAATAATTGTAATTATAAAATCTAATTTTTAAGTTTAATTTTTAAGTCCACGTAGTACGCGTAAATTCTCGAATTATTATTTATTGTATTCTTGGGTTTGGTTATTTTTAGATTCATATCAAAGTAATAGTCAACCTCAATACACTATTTCCATGTAGCATTTGNCGATAACAATTTTTAAAAAGTATGTTCCGGTGTCTAGGACATTTGGGAGTGCCGGCCGATCAGAATACAAAAAAAATAATGATAGATTGATTTAAAAATTAGACTCGATAATCTCAATAATTGAATAGATAATGAGTCCGAATAAATACTGAGATCTACAGTGAAATCAATGGTTATAATTATTAAATCTAGTTTTTAAGTCTAATTTTTAAGTCCATGTAATATTACTCATAAAAAAATAAGAGGGTAAATTCTCGAATTATTATTTATTGTATTCTCGGGTTTGGTTATTTTTAGATTCATATCAAAGTAATAGTCAACCTCAATACACTATTTCCATGTAGCATTTGTGTCGTATTGTCATGAGTCGTGAGCATGATTTGTTGAACAAAAATGTTGATAATTCTCAAACAGACTGTATTTAGTATTTGCTACTGCAAAGCTAGTTGGCTAGCCCACGGTCCATACTTCAATCTAGGTCAACAACTGTAAGTTTGTTGGATAATCCACTAAAGACCCATCAAGACCGGCCCAGCTGGGGAAACTGACATAGCAAGTTCCCCAAGCGCTATACCATCCAAGGAACTCCAAATTATAAACATAATCCTAAATCACTGACAATCAAGCTAACCTTAAGTTACAACTGTAAGCTCATATTTTAACCCTAATTAATTAACATTGGGCCTATTTGGAGCTCACTTTGTTGGGTGCGACACAGAAGTGTGAAAAAACAAATGAAATAGTCAAAGTTAAAAAAAATTTTAAAATCATTTATAAGGTTTCTAAAAAAATTGATTTTTCTTTCGTATCCCATTTTCAATTTTTCATTGGTGTTCATAAAAGATATTTTTGCCCAAAAAACTTATGGAAATGTAGCCAATAAGCCCAAGTCCAAAGGGATCATGTTTCTTTTTCTCTGAAATATAACATTAAAATTTAAGGTTTTAAGTCAGTTTCAAACAAGTCCATTATGTTTTTTTTTTAAATATTTTAGAATATTTAAATGTACTTTGGTTGGTTCTAATTTAAAAATTCTCTAATACAAATATTCAACCGATCCAATTTTACCATTAATATTTTTTGGTAGGTAAGTCATTCTTAATGAAGGTTTGCTTTATTTATAAATACTAGTTGACTATGTCCACTCAGTTGCACCTTGTATTCACGAAAATGTCGTTTTATGTACTTAATATTACGTATCAAATCGACCCACTATTTGAGTAAAGTTGTTTAAGAAGGTCCGACCACAAAAACCTCAAGTCCACCCCAAATCCGTTTGGATTCTAATATCTATTCCTATCCCATCCCACTCTAATAATGGTGAAACAAATCAGCTACCTCCTTCAACCCTGCCCATTATCATCCCTAGTTTTCCTCTTCCCTTTCCTACACTTCCATGTTACTCTTTAAGTTAATCTATCAGAATCAGACCGCAACCAAAGAATAAAACAACACACCTAAAATTACTCGATTAAGTTTTCAAGCACTACAAACAATAGGTAAAACTAGCAAAAGTAGCTAATCACCACTCTATCCCCCTCCAAGCTAGAAAGCATCATATCTGCAAGGCCTCTCGTTTCATAATGTAAATCAAACAACAAAACGGAGCAAACCAAGTGACCTGGAAAAAGATACCCAGTGCTAACATCAAATTTGAAGTCATATCACTTGCTACAAGAAAAATTCTGGGTTCTCGGGTCCAGAATTTTTCATCTAATAGAAGGGAGTACATACCTGGCGGTGTGGGCATGGACCCCGGGGAGGATCCGTCAGCAGTTTTGCAGCTACTAGCCACATAAGGCGAGTTGAGGCAAAAACAAATGGTTTGACTGGTAGGAAAATCATATCCACACCGTCCCTTGGACCCGGTGCACTCACTGCAGGCTTTGCTATCCACCGTCCATCTAACTTCAAATCCTTCCTGAAGAACGTGGTTCAAACTAGTTAAATTTATGGATAATCCTGGACCCGTTTGGAGAACTGGGACAATGACACTGGTATTACAGCTTCCAGGGCCTAGAGTTCCAGGGAATACATAGACATTATTGTTCCGACAAGAAAGAAGGCTACGACCAGAAATATTCGATGAAGGAGGACAACCATAGAGAAATGTGAGGTTCATATAAGTATTGGCGTAATCAAAGAGGGAGTAATCGAGGGTTGTGTTTACTAAATCACGTGGACAGCTTGTCTGCATCAGATCCTCCCGAACAATCTTCATAACTTGTGTATCCTCATAGATATCCAAGATGCTGTAACTTATGTTCATAATAGCAATAGTGGTGACATTTTCCTGATCACAATTGAGCACAAAACCAGGATAGCCACAATATTCAGGATCTCCATTTCCGCGAAAAGGATATCCCACTCCGGTGATGGTTCCACAATTGAACGTATTGCCACAGCTCAAGTACCACTGATCGGAGTTACACGAAACTCGCGGAACCTGAATCACCACCAAGAGATTCAAGATGAAAAACAGAGAGAAGAAAGAAAACCATGAAAAGATTTGGGAATTCATTGGAAGAAATTATGGTGAAGAGAAAGGTGTGGAAGATAGTATTGAAGAGTAATGGTTAGAGTGGTGGTTGGATAGAAAATAGAAGTTGGTGACAAAAGACTCAGCTTGCTGACAATACACGCAATTCTTTTATTGGAGCTGGCATAGAAAATTGAATGAAATGATCGAAGGGAAGACTTTGAGAGCACTTGACTGATTTTGTCTCTACTTCAGAACTCCTTGAAGCAAGCCAAACCATAAAAAAGAACAGGGTAGCAAAATATCAAACTAATTGAAACAGAGAAGAAAGAGGGGGCCGGGGGGAAAATGAGTTGACCGTTAAATTTTCTACGGTAAAAAAGAAAAAAAGCTCTGAACTAACCCTCAATCTCACTTCACCCCTATACTTTTAGAGATTTCACTATACCCCTCCAACTGACGAAAAAACTGCAAATATTAATAAAGNTTTGAGAGCACTTGACTGATTTTGTCTCTACTTCAGAACTCCTTGAAGCAAGCCAAACCATAAAAAAGAACAGGGTAGCAAAATATCAAACTAATTGAAACAGAGAAGAAAGAGGGGGCCGGGGGGAAATGAGTTGACCGTTAAATTTTCTACGATAAAAAAGAAAAAAAGCTCTGAACTAACCCTCAATCTCACTTCACCCCTGTACTTTTAGAGATTTCACTATACCCCTCCAACTGACGAAAAAACTACAAATATTAATAATGGTAACAGTGAAATCGAGGTTTAGTAAATAAGAATTTTTGTATTTTACCCAATTTTCTATTGTGGCTGCACATCGGAAGGATTTGAGAGCAATTTAATGTGAGAAAATCAGGTGACAATCAGAGGCTGTTCAACAGTATTAAAAAAAGCTTGGATTTTAGGCCCAAATTTTGAGAAGGTTCCATAATTTTAGATATATTGCTAATATAGAAAAAATTTAAATCCTTTAAATTTTAAATCCTAACAAAAAGGCTCCAAAAATTAAGTACAGTCAAAATTTTTATTGTAATAATTTGGAATTATGATTCAATTCATAATATTAAAAATCTAAAAAATAAATATATANTAACAAAAAGGCTCCAAAAATTAAGTACAGTCAAAATTTTTATTGTAATAATTTGGGATTATGATTCAATTCATAATATTAAAAATCTAAAAAATAAATATATAAAATAAATAAAAAATATTCAAAAGTCAACTCATATTTTCTTCTACTCATTCTCTCTCTATAAAAATGAGTAAAAAAAATTAAAAAAAAAGTTAAAATTAAACTCTCTCTCCGGTAAAAAAACAAAACAAAAGTTAAACATTTTTCTNAATTTTTATTGTAATAATTTGGGATTATGATTCAATTCATAATATTAAAAATCTAAAAAATAAATAAAAAATATTCAAAAGTCAACTCATATTTTCTTCTACTCATTCTCTCTCTATAAAAATGAGTAAAAAAATTAAAAAAAAAGTTAAAATTAAACTCTCTCTCCGGTAAAAAAACAAAACAAAAGTTAAACATTTTTCTCGGTAATACTAGCACATTCTTTTTCTGTCTCTCTCTCACTTAATAAATTAAAAAAACATTAATTTTTTTAAAAAATTAATATTAAAAATAAAAAAGACTCTCATTTAGTGTATTCGCTTTAAGTCTTAAATTTCTTTGATCCACTCCTGATGACAATTTTTTTTCTTCTTAGACCAAATGTTACTACTATCTATATGGAGTAACATTACAACTAACATGTGATATCAAAGCACGATATTATGAATCACGTGTGCAAGGTGTACGCACAAATATGTAATAAACAATATTCAATAACTAGTAAATATGGATATCTGAACATTTACTCAAAGGAAAGAAGGTTTATAACCATAACTCTAAAAACAAATAAAAAATTAACAATCTATAATTAAAATTATTGAACATTTGCACATGCAAGCTTGTGTAATGTGATTTGACGGTGGGAAGTTTTGACTTCTTTTTTTTTTCGATTCGGCCGTAAAAGACAATGACATAGACAATTTAAGACAGTCAATAAAGGCGAGAAGATGATAGAGTTAAAAATTTATTTTAGAGGCATTGGAGCATCTTTAATTTGATTTAAATTTTTATAAAAATTTATTTAAAAAACTCGATTTAATCCAAAAGATTTTAATAGATAAATTCAAACTTAAAAAAGAATAAATTTAAATTTAAAGATGGGTGAAATATGACTATTGAATTTTTAAAAGAAAATAAAATCTGACAGTTAGCGATTTGAGTAAAAGTTTTAAGTCCCCCTTAATTTTGATAAAATTTTGAGTCTCTTGATTTCGAATGAGATTGGGTATAATATTGGAGAAAGTTTTTAGAGTTTTTTTTTTATCCAAATTTAAATTTTGATTTAAAAAAAGTAAGGGAGAGTTAAATATTTATTTAAATTAAGAAAAACTCAAATATTNTGATAAAATTTTGAGTCTCTTGATTTCGAATGAGATTGGGTATAATATTGGAGAAAGTTTTTAGAGTTTTTTTTTTATCCAAATTTAAATTTTGATTTAAAAAAAGTAAGGGAGACTTAAATATTTATTTAAATTAAGAAAGACTCAAATATTTACTTAAATCACTAATGTCTAGTGTACGTATATGGGGACTTAAAAGAAGTTGACAAACATGTCTCTGCTAAGGATAATCGAAGAAAATAAGTAGAATAAATGGATAGAATAGAAGGAACTTAAGCATTGTATCAAACTCGTAGCTTACATTTTTTGTTGTTAGTATGGGCCGGGCTTNGTTGACAAACATGTCTCTGCTAAGGATAATCGAAGAAAATAAGTAGAATAAATGGATAGAATGGAAGGAACTTAAGCATTGTATCAAACTCGTAGCTTACATTTTTTGTTGTTAGTATGGGCCGGGCTTAAAGTCGAAAACATGAACCAATTGGCCGGCTCAGGGCGATTGGCTAGACCATTTGGCCCAGATTCAGCCCTTGAACCAGGCCCATGGAGTAGGACATCTGGTCCAGGTGTTGCCAGAACCCCAAATTTTTGCTGGGCCGGGCAGGGCAGGCTACCCCTTCTTGTACTTGGCCACTTGAAATGTCTTGTTCTTGTTTTCCTCGAGGCGTAGGGGNCATTTGGCCCAGATTCAGCCCTTGAACCAGGCCCATGGAGTAGGACATCTGGTCCAAGTGTTGCCAGAACCCCAAATTTTTGCTGGGTCGGGCAGGGCAGGCTACCCCTTCTTGTACTTGGCCACTTGAAATGTCTTGTTCTTGTTTTCCTCGAGGCGTAGGAGAAGTATATCATGAATAATAAGCTAATGATAGTTCAAAATTTTTTTCGGGTCAGCTACTCTTATTTTTTAAGAGATATATCGTTAAACTAATTTGAATTACAGTGGTCAGCTCAGATTCCAAAAATCACACAACTGTATGATCTTTCGTACCTCGTCCTCTTGATCTTCGTCTNATTTTTTTCGGGTCAGCTACTCTTATTTTTTAAGAGATATATCGTTAAACTAATTTGAATCACAGTGGTCAGCTCAGATTCCAAAAATCACACAACTGTATGATCTTTCGTACCTCGTCCTCTTGATCTTCGTTTGCAGAGAAGGGATGACCCACAAATCCAGTCATCCTTTTAACATTGAATGAACTTTCCTTCTTCAAGCCCTCAGACGTAGTGAGCAGTATCCTCTCAGGCCATTTCAAGCTTGCATTCCAGTAACCCAAAACATGGTCCATGTAATGAAATCCCCATACAGAACAATTCAAAGGCTTTCTCCAAAGGAAATTCTCCCTTGTCAATGCCATTCACATTGCCCACAAATGCCACAAGGAAACAAACACATCCTTCAGGTCTCAGCAAATGTGAAAAAAGCGTAAAGGGAGTAACCAGTGCACAAGACTTCTCTCATTGTAGAATCTGCGGAGGGTTATATATACGGAACCTTACTCTGCAAACAGAGAGGCTGTCTTGACAAATGTAAACAAGTTTACAATTTGAACATGTTGTGGATTCGGGAAGTGAATTGAATGAAAGGTGAGCCACCAAGAGGGGAATTCTGGGGTACCAGATTGTTTTGTTTTGGTAAAGATCTACCTCCAAGTAGGGGTGTTCAAATGTGTGGGTTACATGATTTGTGGTAAATTGGTAATTTATTGGAGCAGTTATGATTTTAATGTATTTCATATGGTTTAAACTTTAAACTTAAAATAATTGTTATTGTATTTGTGTAGTAATTATGATGGATTGATGCTCATACTTTCTTGTATTTTGTTGTAATTGTTGTTGTAGTTGTTTTAGATTTTAGTGTTTTNCGGCTCAGGGCGATTGGCTAGACCATTTGGCCCAGATTCAGCCCTTGAACCAGGCCCATGGAGTAGGACATCTGGTCCAGGTGTTGCCAGAACCCCAAATTTTTGCTGGGTCGGGCAGGGCAGGCTACCCCTTCTTGTACTTGGCCACTTGAAATGTCTTGTTCTTGTTTTCCTCGAGGCGTAGGAGAAGTATATCATGAATAATAAGCTAATGATAGTTCAAAATTTTTTTCGGGTCAGCTACTCTTATTTTTTAAGAGATATATCGTTAAACTAATTTGAATTACAGTGGTCAGCTCAGATTCCAAAAATCACACAACTGTATGATCTTTCGTACCTCGTCCTCTTGATCTTCGTCTGCAGAGAAGGGATGACCCACAAATCCAGTCATCCTTTTAACATTGAATGAACTTTCCTTCTTCAAGCCCTCAGACGTAGTGAGCAGTATCCTCTCAGGCCATTTCAAGCTTGCATTCCAGTAACCCAAAACATGGTCCATGTAATGAAATCCCCATACAGAACAATTCAAAGGCTTTCTCCAAAGGAAATTCTCCCTTGTCAATGCCATTCACATTGCCCACAAATGCCACAAGGAAACAAACACATCCTTCAGGTCTCGACAAATGTGAAAAAAGCGTAAAGGGAGTAACCAGTGCACAAGACTTCTCTCATTGTAGAATCTGCGGAGGGTTATATATACGGAACCTTACTCTGCAAACAGAGAGGCTGTCTTGACAAATGTAAACAAGTTTACAATTTGAACATGTTGTGGATTCGGGAAGTGAATTGAATGAAAGGTGAGCCACCAAGAGGGGAATTCTGGGGTACCAGATTGTTTTGTTTTGGTAAAGATCTACCTCCAAGTAGGGGTGTTCAAATGTGTGGGTTACATGATTTGTGGTAAATTGGTAATTTATTGGAGCAGTTATGATTTTAATGTATTTCATATGGTTTAAACTTTAAACTTAAAATAATTGTTATTGTATTTGTGTAGTAATTATGATGGATTGATGCTCATACTTTCTTGTATTTTGTTGTAATTGTTGTTGTAGTTGTTTTAGATTTTAGTGTTTTTGATTTATTATGTTGTTAAATTGGTGCATGTTATTTAATTGAATTATTAAAATGATCTAAAAATTAATAGTTACAAAAGTATTTACCTGACTTCCTATCCGATTAATCGAATAGAAAGTTGGATAGAAATACCACACCTAATCGGATAGGGTAGACCAAAAAAAAATTCTTCTACAAAATATTAGATAGGAAAACGAAAGACTATGGCGGTGTTTGTGTTTTTTTCTGTTTTTGTTTTCACTTTTTGCTAAAACAAAAAATACTAACGTGTTTGAAGAGTGTTTTTATTTTTTTTTGGGTTGCTCTATTTTGTAAACAATCCCAAATTTTAAAAATATTTAAAGAGGTGTTTTTGAAAACACAAAAAAATGAAACACACGCACCCCTTTAAACTATTTAAAAAGGTCTAGCCTTTGAACTCCATTTGCAGCAAAACAAAGGACTTTTTTCATTCCCACTATAAAAGCATTTCGTACCCCTTTTTCCATTTCCCTCGTTCATCTCTCTCACGCTCTCGTTCATCTCTCTCACAGGCAACGACAAAGAGCTACGAAGGAGGAAAAAGCTGACACACACACACACTTTCTCTTTCTCTCTCTCTCTCTTTATATATATATATATCACCCTTCTCTGATGGGTTTTGCTGGGGAGTTTCATGGTTGGGTTTTGTGGGTGGTCGTGGGGGTGGATTGGGAGAGAGTTTTGGTGGTTGTGGCCCTGTGGGGATAGATTGGGGGTGGATTTCGGTTGATTTTAGTGGTAGATTGGGGGTGGGTTGTGGGTTTCGATGGTGGTGGGGGTGGATTTCGGTGGTTATAGGGGTGGATTGGGGTGGGTTTCAAACTTTCAGTGGTGGGGTTGGGTGGTGGGTTTCCATGCGAGGTTGGGTGGTGGTTTTGGGTAGGGGTCTCAATCAATTTTGGTGAGATACACCCCGTCAATGGTTTAACGAATAGAGATTGAAATCGAAGAAAATCAATTAGAATTAATCTAATTGATCATGTTTCATTGCTTCGCAAGCTTATCTAATTCTTTCCTTTTTTCATAGATCATGGTTTCTTGACACAGCAAAAGGATAATGAAACAGAGGAAGAGGTGGGTGGTGGCGTTCGATGAAACTGACATTTGGGGTTGGGTGATGGTGTTCGATGGTGGGGTTGGGTGGTGGTTTTGGGAAGTCAATAGGGTTGGTTGTGTGGTTTGGGTGATGAATTTTTGGTATATTTTATTTTTGTTTTTATAATTTTTTAAATATAAAATGACTACCACACGTGTTTTATATTTTTAATTTTTATTACAAAAAAAATAAAACTTAGTTCTGTTTTTTTTAATAAAAAAAAATATAAAAATAAAAATATTACCAAAGACACCCTATATTTCTTGCTTGTAGGGTACGGTGAACATCCTTCCTANATTTTTAATTTTTATTACAAAAAAAATAAAACTTAGTTCTGTTTTTTTTAATAAAAGAAAATATAAAAACAAAAATATTACCAAAGACATCTTATATTTTTTGCTTGTAGGGTACGGTGAACACCCTTCCGCCAAGAAAGGAACACAATCAAGGGGAACATTGAGAAGCAAAGGATTTGTTGAATCATCTAAACAAGCTCTCTTCATTATTGAAAAGCTTAAAGCCTCGAGCCATGTGGTACCAGTTCCTGGAGCACTGAACAAGATGATATCATTGGGCTGTGCCTTGAAGTTTTCTTGAGCTAATATGACTCCTCCTAGGAATCTGGAAGTGTACCAAAAGCCTTGGTACTTGAAAAGATCAGAAAAGGCTGTCCATTCACTATTCTTAGGAGCTGTTGAAATTATTTCTCTGAACTTTTCCTGGGTTTTTTCTGGTTCTTTACAACCTTTGTAACTAAAGGAGGATTTATTTGGATGATTCATGCTTGAATTCAATTTCTTGTGCATTTGGGGAGGTGAGTGAGTCTTTTCTTCATAAATAACTTCAAGAAATTTGGTAGCAGTGTGTGATTCATATGAAACAATCTTCTTAGTGGAGAGTAATGGAGATTATGGTTACCAACAAAAGGTGTTACGAGAGAATTTTTCACATAAGGATATGATAGTCTGCCATAATTTGAATCAATTTATGAACACTTTACCACCTATAACTGAAAAATTAAAACTCTTAAAGGTAATTTCAGTTAGGAGATGATATAGGTTCTGAGGTAGGATTCATGTTCATTTGGGTTGTGACATGTTTTACGAGGATAGTCAACTTCCTCATACAATCCTTTTTTCTTTATCCGGGCTTGGGAACAGTTGTGTAAAACTTAAAAAACTAATAATAGACAATCGAAGTTATCTTAGACCTCATTCAAAAAGAGTATTAGCCGAAAGACATAGTGACACAACATAAGATATTCTGAGAAATAAAGGTATAGTAGTTGATTATAACTTAAATCAATTTATGAACAGTTTATACATGTAACTGAATAATTAAAAACTCTTAAAGGTGGATATTAAGAGGAGATGTAAATTTTGAAAAAGAGAAAACGGAACAAGAAGCCGATGGATAACCATTGCTTTGTTTATGAAGTTACCGCAACATGCGTACGAAAATATCTTCCTTGATGTTTCTGCAACATCTCCCTCTCTTTTTCCTCCTCTTGTTTTTATCACTCTTTCTTTCTCCTCCCTTCAATGAAGTTTCAAGCCACTGAACTTCCATTGATGAAAAACCAGACAGGAAGGTCGAAGAACCCAAAGATAGCTCCACTGATAGCACCATCATCCCCATCTATTACCCTTCATTACGGTACTCTCATAAAAGAATATTGGAATCATCGTCTTCATATCATTCTCTTGAGGATTCAATAAGACCGACTGCTATTTCAGACCCACTTTCACGCAATCACTTGCAGCAGAAAGATAGTGAACCAAGTCTCTTTAAAAATGAGGACAAACAAGCCTGCCATGGCCGCCACTACTCAGTGGCTCCGAAAGAAGGAGAAAGAAACGTCGAGAGACCACACAAACTAGAAGAAGATGCGGAAAGATCATGTTCCGTTTGATCATGGCAAACAAAGATTCAAAAATATTACTGGTACCGATTTGGGGACTAATAATCCCGTGCTAATTGGAACTTACACATAACCTAATGGCTATAATAAGTTATACCTTCAAATTCAGTCATCAAATTAGGTCCACATGTAACATTGTTCTAAGAGATTATAGCGCTCAAGTACTCTGAAAAAGTTCCATCAATCAAGAATTTGTGAAGTTGAACTCAATACAGAATTAAATCCCCTAGATTTCCACAATTATAATCTCTAATTGCACAAGATACAAACAACTGTAATAAGATCATAACTCTATCAAAAATATGGAAGACA